CTTAACATCCTGAGGAAGTAGAGACGTTGATGTGCTTTCATGACCATTGTGACAACGTGGGTGAACCAGGACAGATTGTTGGTGATCATCACTTCCAGGAACTTGATATTCTTGACCATCTCCACCGCAGCATCACTGATACAGACAGGGTCATGCCCTCCATTCTGCTTCCTGAAGTCAATGACCAGCTCCTTCATTTTGCTGACATTGATGGAGAGGTTGTTGTCTTTACACCATGCTGCTAAGTGCTAGGACCTACAATGGTGGTATCATCAGCAAACTAGGAAATGGAGCTGGGGTGGAATTTGACCATATAGTCATGAGTGTATAAGGAGTTCAGTAGGTGGCTGAGTACCCAGCCTTGTGGGGCACCGGTGTTAAGGATTGTGGTGGAGAAGATGTCACCTATTCTTACTGATTATGGTCTATAGGTCAGGAAGTTGAGGATCCAGTTACAGAGGGGGGAGTGGAGACCTAGGCCTTGGAGTTTAGAGATGAGTGTGTTTGGAAATTATGGTGTTGAAGGCAGAGCTGTAATCAATAAGTAGGAGCCTTGCCCTCGTATGGTCCAAATGTTACTTGCCACTGTAAGCCTATGCCTGGATATTGTCCAGGTCTTGCTGCATTTAAACATGGACTCTTTCAGTATCTGAGAAATTTGGAATGATGCTGCAAACATCCCCACTTCTGACCTTATCATGGAGGGAAGGTTGGAAATATTTCCTAACTTCACTCCTAAAGGTCTGGCAGTATTTTTAAACAATGCCCCTGAGTTCAAGATTCCTCAAACGATGTAAGTAGCTTGGCCTGATTTAACCAATCTGTTCTAATTGTGCAGGTTAACCAGACTTCTTGTTGGGATGGCAGGACTGTCTTATAAAGAGTGATACATCTCACTGGAGTAGCGAGCTGGAAATTGAGCCCTGCTGTTCTGGAATCTTCACTAAAGTTAAAAGTTTTTAAAAATACACTAAATTCCCCAATTTATCCATCATTTAGACCCAGTTTGACATAAAGCACAGGCCGGGTTTCTGTACTTAACATGAATACCTGTTTATTGCAAGTGGATAGATTCCAATGACAGATAAACAATTAAGAACCATTGACCCGTAACTTTACTGAGTGAAACTCTGACCCTGTGATATGATCTCCCCTTCTATACACACATATGGACAGACAGAGACATTACCCTTTATACCATTGGCAATCAAATACCTATCAATCTGTATTTTAAACATTCTCAAAGAGGCAAAAAAAGGATACTCTGCGCAGAGAGAGACTGGAAAGGCAGTTCAATGATCCTTTTCCACAGGGTTTGCTGATTTATCAGGATGTGCTGTTCCTAGATTCTCTTTCTCCAGTTACTTTCACTTGCTTGTAGAAAGTACAGAGTGACTGGTTCGCATCTAGAAAATCTGATTCACTGGTAAAGAACCATAGCGTGCAGCAACCACTAAGGGGGAAAGAAACTGGCTTTCTTCAGGCTTGATACACCTTTTACTATAGAGTGAAAACAGTTCATCCTCCTCCAGTGATCTGAAGATTTTGCACTGCACACCCCCAAGTTCTTCAGTTATTTGGGAGCCAATCACAGAATTGTTGGCAGCCTGAGGCCCTTGTAATTAATAATTGATCACCACTGCACAGAACCAATTGGCTATTTGATGCCAGCCAAGGCTCCGTTTATACTCATCCCCTGGCTCAACCTCTTCTGCAAACTAGGCTTCCACTACTGCTTGAACAAGCAGCTGTGTAAACAGTACTTACAATGAGTGTTAGGTTACATGCTTTCAAAATGTGCAGCAAAGCTTCACCGATCCTTTTTTTTAAATAGTCCTTTGCCCATTTCAGCTCACAATCAAAAATCCACAGAAATAAAAAAATAGCCACAGCCTCTATGAGAACGGGTAACCTGGCCCTATATTCTCTTGAGTTTCGAAGAACGAGAAGTGATCTTATTGAAATCTATCAAATAATTAAAGGGAATAACAAGGTAGATGCAGGTAAAATGTTTCCCCTGCTTGAAGAGTCTGGAAACATGGGACAGAATTTAAAAATAAGGGAATGCTATTTAGGACCGGGATGGGGAGAAATTATTTTACTCGTGAGTTGTAGATCTTTGGAATTCTCTAGCCCAGGGGGCTGTGGAAGCTCAGTCTTTGAGAATGTTTAAAATACAGATTGATAGATTTTTGACTGCCAATGGTACAAAGGGTAAAGGGCATTGAAGTGCACCACCAGCCATGATCATATTAAATGGTGAGCAGACCAGATGGGCTGAATGGCCTCCCGCTAGTCCTATAATCCTGCAGCTAGGAAGAAAGGTGTGGGGGAGTGGCAGTTGCTAAATTGTTCTTGCAGAGCTGGCATGGTCTTGATGGGCTGAATGGTTTCTTTCTGTGCTTTTATAATTCTAGAAGGATGCTTTGATCCATGACAATGCTCTTCAATACTCACCTTCTGCGTGAGGTGACGTTTTATCCCAGCTAGACACAGGACCAACTCTCACTTGAATATTCAGTAAAATTGCTGTTCACTCACATGATCTCATAGCCTGTTCCACTAGACCACTGTTCTCTGAGAAATGGGTAAAGAGTGAAGAAAGAGGGTCTGCGGGAGGACTGTGTGTGAGACAGAAGAGCTCAGTATGGGTCAGTTCTCTGCAACTAGGGACAGGACAAAAGGTTTTAGTTAACTCAGTAAGTTAGTTCAGTTTCAATGAATTTCACCATTATTGGATAGCCAGTTCCAACAATTGTTCCTTAACTGTTAAAAAAGATGACCTCATAACTTCAGCATTGCACCTTGGAATCTATTCATTTGGAATTTCTGCAATAGGAGAAGAAATAAAAAGTACAGATGTATATCTGTTTAACACAAGTTCTACTCACTGAGGTCAACTGCTGGACAGGGAATTTTTGCATTCTGTAAACAATTAAAGAGGGTAAACCGCAATATCCTTTAAAAACACAAAAGGGGCCATCACTTTGTTTAGGATGTTGTCGCTTTGCATCTTTAAATGCAGTTAGTAATTCCTAGAAACAGAAATTTTTCAAGTTTCTTTCTGATTGCTCAGTTCCTTGAATCTACAGTAATAAATGTGACAGATTTTTAAAAAAAAGCACTGATCATTTAATACCTTGTAAATTTTTCACTGTACTTATTTGAGTGCATGTGGCAATGAAGTTAATTCAATCCAATTCAGTAAAACTAACTCCTCACCATAAGGTGCAGGTGGGATTCTGCATGGCATCTTCAAGTCTTAACACTAACCGGTGAATCAAATGCTCATTGGTTAATTGTGAGCCACGTCAGATTTATCAGGTACTATCCAGGTCTTCTTTTGGACTAACTATAGAACTTAAAATGTTAACCACCTAGATAGTTGAATGTAGTGCGCTGATTTCACACTCCTCCTCACCTCATCATTATCCCCAATTAAACAGTGATACCTTTGTAACATTTGGTGGTGTCTGCCTTTAAGTTATACCTGTTACTTCAGCATGTGATCCGACGTGGCTGAAATCACTCGCTCATTGATTCAGCAGGATCCCAAATATCTAAATGTGCTGGCACCTCCAAATAATTTGTAGTATACTATCAATCTGTTCCCTGAATTAATTGAGAATCCCTTGATTGGACCTGAGTTGGAATCATTCAATCCCATGCCCTTACAAAGCACCCTCTTCATCAGTCTTCATGAACTGCTTCACTGCCAAACCAAATTTTGTTCATGTTTGGAGGTTAAGAAAAGGGAAAGAATATTTATGTTGCTCAGTTGTGCAGGCAATGTAATCTGAGTGCTTCCCAAATTGAAATGCACTATTTGAGAATTCAGCTTCTGTTGATCCTTTCAGTTTTGTGGGCAGGGCATTGAAATATGTATAATCTCCCAATCTCTCAATTTTCAAATGAATTTTCCCAAGTGTTTTTCCTTGATTTTCACAATGGCTACTTAAATAGATACTTGCACACCGAATAAGCTCCATTTGTATTTAACATATCAAATCAATGATATAAATCAAGAAAGCTGTGGTTTTGTATGTGTCCCAGTCCATAAAAAATTTAGAAAATTCTGTCTGTGAAGCATTCATTAAATTTTGAGAAAATGAGTTATTCTTTTTACAAATGTTATTCCATTGCATTTGTGTCCTGGTAGTACCTGGGAATTATGAGGGGAACAACTCCCGTCCCTGATTAAAAAATAGTACTGCAGATGCTGGAAATCTGAAATAAAAACAAAATTTCGGGAGAAACTCAGCAGGTGGAGGTAGAAGCATAATTACCATTTCAAGTCCAAAAGCTCTTCTTCCGAACCTCTTCAGTTCTGCGAACGTTAGCTGTGTAGTTGCTTAATCCATTGATGAACCGATTCACCAGCACAAGTCCACACGAAAGTTGGACTGAAATGCCTCTCTTGAGAGCAGCTTTATTTATGAAATTTCAGATTGAACATATTTGACTTTCCATTTGTGGTAACAGCAAATTTGTCCCTTGTTTTTAATCTAGTGTTTTCTTGCAGCAATCCCAGACTGAACCCTCCCTGTCCAAAAGTTGAAGGACATCGGCATTTGTCTGCATTCAGTCAATGCCTTTATCTCAGATGCAATTCCACAAACAGAGGCCAGTTCAAAGTTAACAAGCTATGTAATTTTTTTACTGAGATTTGTGTGGTGAAAACAGCCATTGAGGGTTTAGAGGCTCAACAGAAAGAAATCTAGGATAAACTTGTCTTTTTTCTTTAAAAATAAAATCTGTTGCAGCGCCCTTTCGACAGCAACCTTGCGACGCAGGGGAATAGACTAGCTACGTTTCTAAATTATGTAAGTACCCATGTGTGGTCATCCATGGTCCATGTTTTTGCTCTGCGTGTATTCATTCTCATTTCATTTTATAGAAAGAGGAACATGATGCTTTCAAAGAATTAGGCACTGGGAATCGTCTTGCCACTGTTTTAAACTACGTAAGTATGTGTGATGATCAGTTGGGTAGGACATACACTTAGTAACCAAATGAATCAGCAGGTAAGCTAATCCCATCATTCAGGGGTGCCCAGTATATCTTTGTGGCTTATTGTGCTCTTCAACATGGGAGCGGGTGAAGATGAGGGAAGATGATCCTGTTATTGCACCTGGACATATTAGATCATTTGGATGCAGAGCAAGGAGGGAGAGTGGGCATGTCTATAAGGGAGCCTGTTCAATATTCATTCTATTAATTCATGAGGACAGAAAATTGATGACACTACATATATATGAGCAAGTGATTTCCTTCACTCTATGTAACTCTAAGCACTGTGCCCAAGACAATTTAATACAGACATTTCAATAGTGGTGAACATATTATGGGACCCAGAAATGGCAGCAAGAACTTTTTGAGTAATATTTACTATGTGTATATGCTACATTCCCCTAGCCAGCTATCCAAAGCTTAAACTCTGATATGCCCATTTGAATAATTTAGATTTGTACAACTCCTCTCCTTTTAAAATGCTTTACAAAATGGGACAGGTATGCTGAGACTGAAGGAATATGGGGCCTGAGGGCAGAGACATGATTAAAGGAATAGGTTTCCAGTCAGCTTTTGATGCCACAGAGGAAGATAGTAAAGAGGTAGCTGCAGAAATGGAAGATATGAGAGTCGGAGGAAGGAACAAAGGGAAGAGGCAACTACAGAGCGCAAGAGAAGATTTTCCAACAGGCTGGCGTGAAATTGTTTGAGCATAATCGATCTGTTTAATCTCTGAGCTGGGATACAACAGCATTAAAATGTTAGTACGATCATGAGATAGTAGAATGATATGGTCTGCACCTGTACAGAAGGAAACCATCAGCCCCATGCCAGCCTGTGGAAGAAGAAATTAGCTGATTTCCATCTCCTGCTCTTTTCCAATAACCTTTTCAAATTAAATCAGATACTTTCTTGATGTTGTTTTGACAACTTTATACAAGCAGGGCCCGCACAGGTCCACCACTTACAAATGAACGGCAGCGTATGGATTTAAATGTTATGCCTCCGATAGTCTTCATGGGTTCCATCTGCTGCCAATGGAGGCAGTGTAAACATGGACCTCCGCTTCTGATGGCTCGCCAATTAGTTCAGCAGGAACCAGCAATGCACACGGTAAAGGCTGGAGGAGGGATTTACAGGAAAAACAGCACTTGGGTTACTGCTTTCCATTTGTGGGCTTCCCTTCTTACCCCAGCTGTCTATCCAGCATCATTAAACATTATCACAAGCTGTCAGAAAGGAACCTTTCTGCTTGGTCTGAATCCTAAAGGGGTTTCAGTGCAGTTATAACGTTAATCAAATAACTGTGGCTATTGACATCAGAGCATGGATATATTGGTATGAATAAATAATGAATGATGTGAGTGGTTTACCTCCTGAATGCAGTCTTCCAAGCATCCATTATCAGTGGAAAAGATGTTAATAATTTAATAAATAAACTTTGAATCTTTCCTGGCTCGCTGTCCTCTGTAGGTTTGCACTTATAAGAGGAAAATGTTCTGTATGAATGTTTAAAAGTATCTTGCTGATGATGGAATATTGACTGTTTAGTTGGGCATATAAAAATATGCACATCCAAACTAATGCTTAAGACAAAAAAAAAATCAGAACTTGCTGAAGAAACTCAGCAGGTCTGGCAGCATCTTTGGGAATAAAAATAGAGCTGAAATTTCATTTTCCAGTAACCCTTCGTCAGAGTGCTAATGTTTGCTTAGACTCATTCCTGTCTGCTTAAATCAAGTTCACCATTCACAGTTGCTTGAGCAGCAGCAAATAACCTAAATCACAGGGAGCCTTCATCATTTGATACAGCATCCCACTTCTTTTGCTAATGCTGACAGATGCTGTAAGATCGCACTACTTTATTGAGTTGCTAAGTTGTTGCTGCACTGCTGTATTCTATCTATCAAGGAAACCCTGTTGATAATTGCATGGCCGATAATTAAAGGGCGAACCAGAATTTTCAAAGTTGGAAAAGTGGAAGGAAAGATTTGCAGTCTAAATCTCAGCGTTGCTTCAAGCCACTCCTCAGATTTCAAAGAGGAAGGAAGAGACGTTACCTCAGAAGCTGGAGGGGCTTTTATTCTTTGTAGTTGATGTGCAGATCACAGGCAAGTGATCTTTGAGAACTAACCCTCCTCTATTACAATGCTTAAACAAGATGTCTTTTTCTTAACAACAGAATTGTGGGCCTGTTAACCAGTTCTGGTATATGCATGGATCTCTAATATACTGAACTTCAGAAACGCCAATATAAAATTTCTTTACGACAACTCAATCACTGAGCTTAGATCTACACAGTCAGGCTGAGTGCACTTATCCTATCTTCAACCTTTGAGAAGCAACGTGCTTTTGATTATAGTCTACACACATGTCCCACTTAATGCGTACGTTCGATGCCACCATCTACCAGTGTTCTGATATTAATTTGCAGCAGGTAGAATTGAAAATGCTGCAACAGTTAAAAATAAAAATTTAGTCCTCTTACATGAACCAGATAAAACTACTCCAGGGACTAGCACTGGAAATTGATGCTGGCAAACACAGACTTTCCTTAGAGCTACACACGCTAGTTATTTATACGTTACTAAGAAAACCTATGCCAAATGGCATAGTCATGTTTATTTAGTGATGCTGTCCGGTTTCTTTTGTACGATCCAACTGCACAGTTTGTGAGCTGGCAACAATAGCGAGTTTTTCACCACTGACCTTAAGCCTCACCGGTGAAGAGATCTAGTCATTGCAACCAGTTCTTTGTTTGAAGAGGTTATTGTGAGAGTCAAGTGATTCTTCATTATCTGATAGGGGATCTTCCCCTCACTTTTACATTTCAGTCTTTCATCGTTGCAACTTGTTTTTTTTTCTTTAATATTGATGCTCCTGAGAGCTTGTCTATTCTTTAAGCACCCATTAGCTTATGATCTTCCAATACCTATGCCATCTTTCATTTGACTCATTCTTTCACAGAAGCTCGAAGTTATGGAACTCCAAACCATCCTGGGTCTTATCTTCCTCCGACAGTCTTCAACAATTTAAAAGCTTGGAGGTGGGGTAACTTTGAATATCATTGAAAATTGCAAGGGTTGGGGAGTGTGGTGGATGCCTTGGAGTGGGTGAAAAATTGATGATAAGCAACCTATTGACTTCAGATGAAAGAATGTTGACTGGTGTATGTTATATAAGCAACAACAACAGCTTGCATTTAAGTGGCACCTTTAACATAATGAACACAGCAATGCACAGGAGTTGCAATGAATTTCATAGAACCTTCATCGAACAAAATTTATTGCCAAGCCATACAATGAGACGCCCGTATATGCGAACAAAAGCTTGATCAGAGACGCAGGTTTTAAAAGTTGTCTTAAAGTGGGGAAAGAGTGGTGGAGAAGTTTAGGCAGGGATTTCCTTAGCTTTAATTCCACAGCCCAAGGCCTGGGCAGCTGAAGACACATACACCAATAATGGGCCAGTGGAAATTGGGGAAACACAAAAGATCAGAATCAGATGAATGTAGAGACCTCAGAAGATTCTAGAATCCTAAGAGATAACGGGGATGGCGAAAGTCAAAGCTATGTAGTGATTTGAAATCCATAATCAGAATGTCAAAGTCAAGATATTGATGAGCCAAGACCCAGTGTACCACCCTCGCTGAAGTCATCTTCTTGTTACCTACTTTGTGATGTACCTTCCCTTCCCTTTCAGTCCATTGGTATCCTGGAACAATGCACCGTATTTTTATTTTCTCAATGAAAGAAATAACTGCCCATTTACGCCTCGTACTCAGAACTTTTTTTGTCGGAGAAAGAGGTGATAGAAAAGTAGTTACATGAAATACAATGATTAAATAGAATTTACGACACTGAAGCAGTTCATTCAGCTGTGCTTAAGCTCTATGTGAACATCGTGCCACTATAATTCATGAAACTTTGCTAGCACATCCTCCTATCACTTCATCATGTTTTTATCTAGTTTTTCTTAACTCCGTCCATGTTTTCTCAACTAGCACCATTATGAAAAAAGCTATTGGAATAAATTGGAAAGTAAAAGGATTAAGCTTGCCCCAATACTGTTTGCATTTATTTACAGTTACAAAGCTACCAGTTCATTTTTCTCAGAAATTGAATGTAACCACTTGATAAAGCTTTGTTTGGGTTCACATTCTGAGAACTATCACAATGACTCTTACTGCCTCCAGCACTTGTGCTAAACCTGCCATTAGCCGAGATGCTGATTAGAATCAGACTACCATATGAGTTCTTATACATCGGCCTATCCTTTGCCCTTATTTCCTTAATCTTATTGGATTGCAATCTCTGCAGCTTAATTTTTTCCACACCAAAAAAAAATCTCCGAAAACAAGAAAGAGGACTGCATTATGCCCACAGTTAATGAGACTAGTTGGCACTCCTGATGCAGTCTGTTGACTCATTTCCTGTTTTCAGTATGGCCAATACTAAAAATAGTTTCCCTTTTTATCTCTTTTGAGAATCAACTCCAACCTTGCAGCACATCCTTCGAAAGTGAAACTCAAGGGGAAGTACTTGGAAGGTGCTGCCTTTTCCTGAGAATGAACATTCACCCAACTGAAATGAGCAGAATGTGGCAGCAGATGGCCGCTGGTAACTGACTCTTAACAGCTTTCTAGCTGTGAGGAAGACACACTTTCCTCTCATCCTACTGAGCTGCTGATTCAAGTCATGTAGGGTGCAGCTTTGAACTATTACTAGCTCTTTTGAGGTGACAAGGTTACTGCTGAAAGTGTATAAAAGTGATTAACTGTGAAGGCTCTACACATGAGTAAATTGGGTTATTGGGGAGACTTGAAGAAGTTTGGGTTCATCTCCTTGAAACAGAGGAAGAGGTGATGTGAGGAAGGTGTTTAGACTGAATAAATAAAACAAATTATTGCTAATTGCACAAGATTTGAGGTTCACAATTGAAGACGACCTGCAAAAGCTCATTTTATGCAACGAATGGTTAGATTTTGGAACACTGCTCAATAGGGTGATAGAAAAAGATTCAACAGTAACTTACTAGAGGAAATTGAAAAAAAAAATTGAAGGAGAAAAGAAATTGCACAGATATGGGAAATGAGCACCGTACTGAGATTAACTGGATTGCTCCTCAGGTGCAGCCTCAATGGGCTGAGTGGCCTCCTTCAGTGCTGTATTCTATGATTCTGTTAGTCTCTTCCTGCCGCCATTCCTGGTGCTTTTCTTTGAGGCAAATTTCATTGACTCCTTCTCAATGCATCGAATTCAGGAAGATTTTATAAGGACTGCATGATTTAGCTTATTGTCCAGCACATATCCCAGCAAATTGAAGGTTAACCAGAGAGGCGAGCCTACCTGCCAACTAAGTAAAAATATCCAGTGTGGCATAACATAACAAGGAAACTTAAAGGTTTGATGAACTTGTGCCACTTAAAATGTTCTTGTTTGCCTTGGTCGATGGAGGTTGGAATAGTTGGCTGGGGACGTTGTGGTTTAGGGAATTCAATGATGCTGTAAAGCTTATCATCCCCATTGACTAATTATGATAGAGAATTAATGGTGATTGTGAACAAGTCGCAATAGCAGGAGAAGAGGCGATTGCAGAAAATCTGAAGAGAGTTGGCAGAAATGCAGACCTGTTGAAGCAAGTGGGGCAAAAGACAGTTGCTAACCACCCATCATGAAATTACTACATTAGCTATAGTGAACAGGCACTCGTACTTAATGTTCTCTCCTTGAAGGTTTTTAACTCTTCAGTTCTATTTTTGCATGATTTTCACTGGAGTTTATGAAACTGTGCAAGATAACATCTCACAATGTAATTTGCCATCTGGAATACAAGCTGACTCTAATTCAATCAGTTTTTTTCTCATCGCATGTTTGTGCATCAGTACCACAGCCACCACGTTTAATCATTTTGTAATGTCATTTTCCATCTTATTATCTTTGTGCTGAACTGATAATGCAGCAATGGAGATTGAAATAAAAAGACAAGCAGCAATTGCTAAATGGACATGGGCCAGGAAATGCACAGTAGGGAGGCCAGCATCAGAAAGAGAATGAGATGTTGATGTACTGGGTAGCGGCTGCCTGGTTCAAAGAATCACCCTTAAAGGAATCACTTTAAAGTATAAAGAGAGGAGGTGTGAGGAGGACCACAGATCAAGGTAGAGAGTTAACATTCAATTTTACAGAGATAGGGCCTGCTTTTAACTCACTCAAAGCTTCAGGAGTTAAAATCAGGTCCATAGTGTCCATTGAATTATGCAGCTTCCCTTCTTTTGTAAGACCGTGAGTAGTACATTCAGTTGCCATTACGTAACAAAAACTTGCATATATGTAGCACCTCTAATATCAGAAGACACCCCAATGTGCTTCACAAAGTATAGTAGATGCATTTTGGCATAGCACCAACAAAAAATTATTAAGCTATACACTGCAACAATGGGGTCTTAAAAATAGCCGATGCAAGTCCCATAACTTTGCCTTCAATGTGTCAACAACTTCAATTTGTTGGAGTCAAGATTTCTTACTTATTGGCTTGTCTTGGTTGAGATTTGTGGGTATAAAGGCATGAATGGGCTATTTTTGAGATTTTGTCTCATTGCTGGTTGAATGCCAAATCAAATATCATTCCTTTTAATCTGTAAATTTCCTCCTCAACTATCTGGGTTCTCTTGAATATGTCCTAGTTTGTCATCAGTTTGACCTGCCCGTTCTGATGAAGATATAAGCAAGTAACACAACAGATTCTGATGCTGGCTTTCTTCCTGTGCTTTTATAGGAGTTTCCATTGTTGATACTGTGTACCATTAATTTTTAATTAGAACAGATTTTTTGCTTGTATCAGGAGTAAATGCTGACATGGACTGGTTGTGCTGAGTCTCCTGTTTTCACGTTGTAACTTTTATATATACTGTGTAGAATGCTGCAGATTTGTTCTTGACGTTCTGTGAAATGCAAAAACTTTCAGCAAATTGTTCCCAGCAGCAACTATTGTAAAATGCTCAGTGTTGTGGTTTACCTTTGAAGTAGGTCCTTTATTTAAAGGCATTGAAATCATGCACTGAGCATCAGATTGTCTTCCATTGCCAAGTCAATAATAATAATTATCATTATGGTGGCTTGTCTACCACTTTAGGTGAATGGACTTATTTTTACTCATTGTATGGAAAGGGCTGTTTACTGCAATGTTGTTTCAGCACTCAGAGTTATATCTTCGTGTAATGCTTCATGTTAAATGTAATGCTTCTTTGTGTAATGTCCAGACGTCTGTTGTGCCATCAATGTTCACTGGCTGCCATGTTGCCTGCTGAATGCTAGAATTTACTATATTAACTGTTAAAGGTTTCATTTCATTGTTTCATGCTTTATTTTAAAAAAAGTCTTTGTCATCTATACAGTATCTGATCGCACCGTGTCTAAAAATATCAGTGCAGTTTGCTAAACAGATATTGAATATATTTTTGAAAGGCTTTTTTTTATTCAATTCAGTCATGGTTACTTGAGCTATGATAAGTAACAGCTAAGAATACACGGTTTTTTTGATCTATATAGTATAGATTGTAGCGAATGTCAGTAGGGTTTGTCAGCATTACTTACCAAAGGATGATAGGATCAAGACTTCTCTTTGCAGAGTTGGCCTTGGATTGGGAATGGGAGGGTTCATAAGGCTAGAATTTGTGGAGTATGTCACTTCCCTGGAAGCGGACATGAATATAGCAGGCAGGTTTCTCTATTTAGCTGTAGTGACCATTGAAATGCGCCGAACTAAGCTCTGGCCAAAGTCCAGCCATTCTTCCTTGAGAGGGTCTAGCTCGTCAAGATGCCTCTTCATTCTGTCTGAATACATGCCAAAGGTCATTGTGCTATTTATTGACAAGGACCATGTTTATGGAGTCAGTATTGAAAACATCAGTCAGTGAGATCTTAGAACTCAGTGAGCTAGTGTTCTTGTTCCAACTCCATAAGTCTGTAATTAAAAGATTATTATATTAACGTTAAATTTCATTGGGTAAAGGGAGGGAAAAGCTAGTTTGGCTCTGCATGTTTGAGCACAATCCAGTGACTTAGTATGCACACATATTTTATTTCCTGACAGCAATGGCTTTAGCTATTGCTTGCTGTGGTCACATTCAGCTGCCCAGAATTCAATATTAACAGTAGAAATGTGAGAGATAGCTTCCATTGCCTTTGGAACCATTTCCAGCAAGAACTCAATGTTAATAGAGGACTAAAAAACAACTAATGAAGACAAAAGTATGATTTGGAACAGTGCCAGGTCTGAAACCATTAATGCATAGCTGTAAATGACGGAATTTTTAGCCGTCTCTCACCAAACCTCCCAGGGCTAACTATGCTGCTTTGTAGTTGTGCTAAGTGAAAACCACGCACTTGCCCACTAAGCGAGCTAATATGGTGTGACAGAATCGTTGCTGGGCTATAATCACTTGTTTCCCTAGTATCCAAGAGGGCCATGGCAGAACCCTGTAATGCTGTTCTTGTTCACCTTGAGATGCAGCAGGTGAAGCCAAGAAAACGGAGTTCTTTGTGCTTGGACTGATTGTGAGGGGAGGGGTCCGGTGGGAACCGTGGAATCTTTATCGACATTTAAAAGCAGATAGAAAGTTTACCAGGAAAGGTATTTCAGTTCAGTCTGTATCTGAAAGAGAAAGAGGGTAGTTCAGCATGTGACTCCATCAGAAAGTCGAACAAAAGCTGAGGACGTTTTTAAGCTATGAGATAAAGCAGCAGAAGTTTAAGCTCCGTTCTTTGTCATTAGCATTTGTTGTGCTATCATTGTTTGTTTCATACAAGTTGCTTATGGCGACGTTGACTGTTTGCAGCTTCAGTCTGTCGAACAGCCAGGTTATGTTGCATCAACTGCATGCATTTAACATAAGTCATTGTTTCAAATCAAGATTGCCATAGCTTCAGCTGTATTCATTTAACATGAAAGCAACCTCTCCATACAGTCATTTGGCACAGTATTTACAAATCTGTTTGCAATTCTATATACCAGATGAGTGATGTTCCAGCAGGAGGAGCCACAGTATTTCCTGACTTTGGTGCTGCCATATACCCAAAAAAGGTAACTGTTAATACCAATTTTATATTGCCAATTAATTGTTTGCTTTCTGCATATGATTAAGTGTGAAGTGGATAGATTCATGGTGTTCTGTTAAATCTCTGAGGAATCTGCCTGTTTATAATCATTCATTCTTAGCTTACTAACAAATCTAATTTTTTTTTCTCTCTGCTGTACTGGGCCCAAACCTGGTAAAGCCTGCCACTAAATTAATTCTTCAAATATGTCCATCTTCTGATAAGCCCTTTATTTTAAGGTTAGAGAGAGACCACAATCTGCACAGTTATTTCTGATCCACTCACTGCCAAATCTGGGTAGAGGTCTAGGAGAAAACAAACAGAAGGCATTACAAATCCTTTAAGTTATGTATTTAATGCTTGAAGATTAACTCCAGAACGTGATTAACAATCAGCAATTTTTGACTTGAATTTTTTTGGAAGAGAAGCCACTGGATAACTAGTCCCTACTTTAGAGCCCATAGTTTCCCTTCCTCTGTTAGTAAGGATGCCCTCAACTGCACCTCCCCCATATCCTGCGTTACTGCCCTCAAACCTCTTACCTCCCAGCAACAATAAGGATATAGTCCCCTTGGTCTTCGCACACTACCCCACCACGTTCTGAATACAACGCATCAACCTTCAACATTTCCGCCGCCTACAATCAGACCCACCACCAAAAACATATTTCCATTCCCACCCCTGTCCGCTTTCCGCGGAGACCATTCCCTCATCAGCTGCAAACTCCCCACCAACCTCTCCACCACACCCAGTACCATTCCCTGAAGCCGCAAGAGGTGCTACACCTGCCCCTACACCTCCCCTCTCACCTTCGTCCAAGGCCCCAAACAATCCTTCCAAATCCAGCAGAGATTCACCTGCGTTTCATCAAACCTCATCTACTGTATCTGCTGCTCCCGATGTGGCCTCCTCTATATCGGGGAGACCAAACGCAGTGTCAGGGACCAGTTTGCAGAGCACCTGCACTCTGCACACACGAACCAACCCGACTTTCCGGATGGCATCCACTTTAACTCCCCCTCCTACTCACCTGATGACGTGTCCATCCTTGGCCTCCTCCACTGTCAGAGTGAGGCCAAACGTAAACTGGAGGAACAACACCTGATATTTCACCTTGGGAGCTTACAGCCCAATGGCCTGAATATTGACTTCACCAGCTTCAATACCTCTCTTCCCCCAATCTGTCCATCTTCTGACTCACCAGTCCAATCCACGCTTCCCACTGACCAACCACAATAACCTCCTACCTACATCCACCTATCTCCATCTCACCTACCCTCCCCAGCCCCACCACCCTCCCTCTATTTATTTCTGGACTACCTTGCCCCTCCACAGTTCTGATGAAGGGTTTCGGCCGGAAACGTTGACTCTCCTGCTCCTCGGATGCTGTCTGACCAGCTGTGCTTTTCCAGCTCCACATTTATTGACTCTAGCTTCCAGCATCTGCAGTTCTTACTGTCTCCAAGTCACTGGATGGCCAGTGACTGGTTCAGTTAATGGAATTTGATCTTCAAGATTTAATGAGTGGGAATAAAATTTGCAAGTTACATGTATCCCACCTGCACCCAGAAAGAAAGAATGTGAATTCTGGGACAAATGAAATTTTAAATATTAGAGTTTTCTTCCACAAAGGACAAAAGAAGATAAATGGAAAGAAGGTCTTGTGTAGCAGAACAGTGCTGGGATGAATGCCCTACACTTGTTCTTATGATTATGTTTGAAAGTAGCTCATAGATATAAAGTATGCCTTTAGTAGATGATGCTGTCTGCTGCTCATTCCATAGAAATTGCTCTGTTTCACTCCCAAGGGGTGGCACAGTGCCCCAGTGGTTAGCACTTCAGCCTCACGGTGCCAGGGACCTGGGTTCGATTGTGCCCTTGAACAACTGGCTGTGTGGATGTTCTCCAGTTTCTTCCCACAGTCCAAAGATGTGCAGACTAGGTGGATTGGTCATGGAAATGCAGGGTTACAATGATAAGGTAGGGGGATGTGTCTAGGTGAGATGCTTGTCAGAGGGTTGGTGTGTATTTGATGGGCCAAATGGCCTGCTTCCACAGTGTAGAGATTTTGCAGTTGCCTCGACTACCTTTGACTCTAAACCCCAATTCATGTTGTTAAACTGATGCTGCTGCAGTTTATTTATTAGGGAAACATTTCTTTATCTCCCCAGTTGCCTGGAGTAGATTTGGATATAATTCCTAGCAATGACAGCTGAGTTTTCCAGCAGAACATACTTCACCATGAAAGGATTGTTCCATTTCATTAGTAGAAAGGGAATTTTCAATTGATCTAAACCCTGTTATTTGAATTATTAAAAAAGAAACACAGGACAGCTTCACCTTTACTGCTAAAAAGCATTTTATCTGTCTATGATACGTTATAATTTTAAGGATACAATTTAAAATTTGGTTTGTTATTTTCAGGGCACAGCAGTCTTTTGGTATAACCTTTTTAGAAGTGGAGAAGGTGATTATAGAACGCGGCATGCAGCCTGTCCAGTATTAGTAGGAAGTAAATGGGGTAAGTGCTTACCTAATGTCTGCTGTTAATAGCCACAGGACTGTTTATTTCTTTGGTTTGTGTGTAAAATGAATGAAGAGAGAGACGTGCAGCTATCTCTGCATTAGGTTCTGTCAAAATGTGCACATCCTTGCGGAAAATAAATCTGTCAACTTTCTTTCTGTTAAGTTCTCGTGGTGAGACATGGCTGTGTTCGCTAATAGAATTGTTTCTTTTCCTGCAGTGGCAATGTCCAATATTGCTAAGAAGCCTGATACAGGAAAGCCCAAATGCAAAATCAAGCATGTAATAGCAAAATATAGCAGATGATGGAAATCTGGAAAAAAAAACAAAGTGCTGGAGAAACTCACAATAAACTGTCTTATTCTCAACACCAATGAGTCTCAGCTCCAGCCTTAAGAAAACATTTCTGACGACATCAACACATTTTTTTTCATTTCCCACACCAATTTCCCATATGACCTCTCTGAACAAAATTGACACTTTTGTGCCAGTTTTGGGCCCTTTTTTATTAGGAGCAAGTACCCACATGTACTATTCAGCCTCATCTTCAGTTGTACTTTGGAAGCTGGTATTCTGTTCTTATTTAGTCATGAGATGTCCCTGGCAGGCTAACATTTGGTGCCCATCCCTAATTGCTCTTCAGAAGCTGATGGTGAGCCCCCTTCTTGAACTGCTGCTGCCCTTGCTGAAGGTTAATCCACCGTGCTGTTATGAAGGCATGTTGCTTCCCTAACCCTAACCCTAATCACGGTCAGGCACTTCATTTTTCACCCTAACCTGACAGATGAAAAGCCAGACTGCTCCCCGCAAGACTAAATGAACAGCACGTCCTGAAATTGTGTGCATTCATTTACCTGTCCCAATAGTTTGAGTGCCTTGCTAGGCCATTTTAGAGGGCAGCTTATTGACCAGACAAGGTGAGACTGGCAAGTTTCCTTCCCTAAAGAACATTATTAAACCAAATAGGTTTTTGCACCAATCCAATATCTTTCTGATAGTTTTTGCTGATATGAGCTTGTAATTCCAGATTTATTAACTTATTTTAAATGAATGCATATTTTCATTTTACTGATGAGATTTGAACTCACATTCTATAGATTATTAATCTAGTAATATAAAAACTGCGCTGTCATATCCATGTCCACTCATTTTTCAAGGATCCCTTGAGTAACTAGAATTAACTTGGTGATGAGGATACTTAATGACTTATATGAATCTGTGGCTTCATTGGGTAAATACAGTATTCAGTGATAATTGGGGTGCCTCTAAAATCAATCTCATTATCCTCTGGTATGAAATAAGATACATAATAGATGAAGCATCATCTGTGTTAAGGTTGGATTGTAAAACCAAGCCATTGACTTTCACAAATTGATGAGGAATCAAAAAAGCCAACAAACCTGGTTTGTTGGAGCTTACTTTCTATTCCAGGGAACAGCCCTTTCTCTTTCATTAGTAATCTCAGTAAGTTGTATCTGAACATATCTCCTCAAAAGTAAAAATTGCCTCAGTTGTGAAGTCTGGCATGGAAGAAGAAAAATATGAGTTATTATTACTGTTTTTTTTATTTTGGAAATGATTTATGGAGTTTTGGTCTCCTTATTTAAGGAAAAGTGGAAATGTAGTTCAGAGGAATATCACCAGTTTGATACTTGGAGTTTAGAAAAGTGAAGGGTGACTTGATTAAAGTGCATAAGATCCTGAGTTTTTTTGACAAGATGAATATGGAAAGGTTGATTTCTTTTGTGGATCAGTCCAGAATTATGAAGGTAGAGTGGTAGACATTGTCTATATGGACTTCAACAAGGCATTCAATAACATTCCATATGGTAGACCGGTTAGTAAGGTTAGATCACATGGAATCCAGGGGAAGCTAGCCAATTGGATGCAAACTGGCTTGAAGGTAGGAGACAGAGGGTAGTGATAGAAGGTTGTTTTTTCGGATTGGGGGGCCTGTGACCAGCGGTGTGCCACAAGGATTGGTTCTGGATCCCCTGTTTTTCGTCATTTATATAAATGATTTGGATGTGAATATAGAAGGTACATTTAGTAGGTTTGCAAATGACACCAAATTTGGAGGTGTAATGGACAGTGAAGAAGATTATCTCACAGTACAGTGGTGCCTTGATCAGATGAGCCAATGGACCAATGAGTGGCAGATGGAGTTTAGTTTAGATAAATATGAGGTGTTGCATTTTGGTGAGGCAAACCAGGGCAGGACTTATACAGTTAATGGTAGGTCTCTGGGAAGTGTTACCCAACAAAGACCGAGGAGTGCAGGTGCACAGTTCCTTGAAAGTGAAGTCACAAGTAGATAGGTGCTGAAGAAGGCATTTGGCACCCTTGCCTTTATTGGTCGGTGCATTGACCGTAAGATTTGGGAGGTCATGTTGTGGCTGCACAGGACATTGGTGAGGCCACTTTTAGAATACTGCATTGAATTCTAGTCTCCCTGGTACAGGAAAGATGTTGTTAAACTTTAAAGGGTTCAGAAAAGATTTACAAGGATGTGGCCGGGGTTGGAGAGTTTGAACTATAGGAGAGGCTGAATAGGCTGGGACTATTTTCCCTGGAGCATTGGAGGCTGAGGGGTGACCTTGCAGAGGTTTATAAAATCATGAGGGACATGGATAGAGTGAATAACCAAGGTCTTTTTCCCAGGGTAAAGGAGTCCAAAACTAGAGAGCATAGGGTTAAAGTGAGAGGGGAAAGATTTAAAAGGGACCTGAGGGCAGCTTTTTCACACATTGGGTAGTGCATTTATGGAGGTGGTGGAGGCTGGCACAATTACAACATTTAAAAGGCAAGTGGATGGGTATATGAATAGGAAGGGTTTGGAGGGATAAATGCTGGCAAATGGGATTAGATTAGTTTAGGATATCTGGTCGGCATGGACTAGTCAGACTGAAGTGTCTGTTTTTATGCCATATTACTCTATGACTCTATGACTGTGTAACTAGGACATACTGTTTTAAAATTAGGGGTTGCTGTTCAAGGACAGAGATGCAGAGCATTTTATTCTCAGGTTTGTTCGACTGAGTAAATATATTTAAGGGTGAGGTAGATTGATTTGTTTGCCTTACATGAATCTCAGGTTATCGAGGGTAGTTAGGAATATGGAATTTGGAATGCTACCAGCTTATCCTACTTCAGATCCAGATTTGTATGTTTTTGTATCTACAATTCATCTGAATAATTTACTATTCTCATACCAGATTATGATGTGTTGCAAAGCTTCACCATATTGCTAATACTTATTTATTTATTGATTGTTAATTATTTCATTCATAGTTTCCAATAAGTGGATCCATGAGAGAGGACAAGAGTTCAGGAGACCGTGCGGATTGACAGAGGTGGATTGAACTGACAGGCCATGGCATTATCCCTGTTTGTATCCCTCCCTTATTTTATCAGGACAGACAAACAGTCAGGATTTGATTTTTCTCCCCCTTCAATCAGCTCATGCATTCCACTTTGATCAGATCACATAATTTTCATTCCAATTGATTCTTTTTCTCTGCTCCCCCCCACCTCACCCAAAAAAAAACTAGACCCAATTATTCTCAATGAGGGGTGAAAAACACTGTGGTATCTTCAATTTGTCAGCCACTCCATACAAGAAAATCATTCAACCCATTTGGCAACAAGTATTAGATCTGAATGATTGCTGTCCAGGAGAAGACAGCAATCCTTTCTCTCTAGGAAAAGAAGTGGATGAAAAATATCAGCATTCATTCATCCTTCCATCCTCCTACCTTATGAATTTCAGCAGAAGGAAATGTACGGTTTGGACCGAAGGTTCCTCCACTTGGATACAGCTCCATGCTTCTGTTTTCACACATCAAAGGCACCTTTCTCTTAAGCAATCTCTACCTTTTAAGATGCTCAAAATCTTCTTGAAACACTCCACTTAAGAAAAGTATTCACATGAAAATTGTTTGGCCATTCTAGCTTAAGCTACCTATTTACGGAGGAGATTTTCATATCACCTTCTTGTCTGTTAATTTTTGTTTTGTGGAATTCTTCAATGGACTTCTGTTTTTCAGTATATGAATACAATTTTGTCATCACATTCTAATCACCTTTTGCAAAATTGCAGATGTTGAAATCTCTTTTAAGCACCCAGTTAATGCAAATCTCTCCTAAATTGCAATAAAACCGAAGTGCAAACAGAAAATGTTCTACCAATTTAGATCACTTTTAGTGACTATCTTGATTCTTTCCCATGTGTTGCATTGTGAATGAGTCCTGGTTCATGGGTTAGTAAGTGGCAGTTTAAGAGGAAGACCTGTCACCACTTTCTAAGGCAAACTGGGAGGGATAGGCAACAAATGGAGCTTTGTCAGTGTTTCTCACATCCAGAGAATGAAAGTAAGAAAGATGGACTGCGCTGTGCACATGAATCTGACTAATTTGTTAGAAAACCATGAATCATTCCAACTTGAAAATCAATATTTTTGAGAAGGCTCATCAAAGATTCATGCTGAGAAAATTATACAATTGTCTTCAAAATCTATTTTGATAATGTTGGAGATAGCAAGAACTGCAGATGCTGGAGTCGGAGACACCACAGTATGGAGCTGGAGGAACACAGCAGGTCAGACAGCATCAGAGGAGCAGGAAATTTGACCCGAAACATCAACTTTCCTGCTCTTCTGATGCTGCCCAGCCCATTTTGGTAATAAGGTGTAGAGCTGGATGAACACAGCAGGCCAAGCAGCATCATAGGAGCAGGAAGGCTGATGTTTCGGGCCTAGCTTGGCCTGCTGTGTTCATCCAGCTCTACACCTTGTTATCTCAGATTCTCCAGCATCTGCAGTTCCTACTATCTCTGATACCATTTTAGTAATGTTCCTTTTGTCCCCTTGACCCATCCTACCTGGAAACATATTTCCCCTCTCCGCCTGGGCTCCTGAAACTCCCACATAACCTTTGACCACAGCAACAGGACACTTGTCACGGTCTATTCATTACTGTCAATACAAATAAATTGAATCTCTTACATTTTGGTAGGGAAAGTAAGGAGCTTTCATACTCATTGGGAAAACAGAGTCCAAATGAGAGAAATGAGCCAAGGGATCTAGGCATCCAAATATAGAATGTTGGGCCAGAAGACCTGGGTTCAAATCCCACCATCACAACTTGTCTAAATGAGCTGATTACAAATATTTCAAATATAGAAAGTACTAAAAGTAATAATAATGAGTTAATTACAAACAGCAAATAAAGCAATGCTGTTCATTTCCTCAGGGATAAAATTGAAAAACAGTGGTCTTATGTTGAAGTGATAGTGTCCCTACTTCTGGGCTAGAAGGTCTGGGTTCAAGTCCCATCTGTACCAGAAATGTGTCATAACAGGTTAATTAAAATAACTAAAATTGAAATGTAGGGCATCAAGTGAGATCCTGGCGATAAATTTGATTTGAGCCACTGCATTAAACCACATTTCCTGGCTTCCAGATCCCTATGACCAGAATGATTGGAGTGTGAAACTCCCAAACACAAGGAATAGTTTGGGTAAATAGGTCAAATAAGCACATGAGGGAGAAGGAGGTAGTAGAATACACTGAAGGGTAAGATGATGATGGTTGGGTGGAGCCTCTTGCTGACAAAGGTCAGCATTTATTGTGATCCCTGAAGAAGGTGGTGTTGAAGGTCCTTGATGTGATGAAAACAACAAATGCTGGGGATCACAGCAGGTCAGACAGCATCCATTGAGAGACAGCAAGCTAATTTTTCGAGTCTAGATGACGCTGATGACGTACAGATTCTAGCACCTGCAGTAATTTGCTCCTTGATGTGATGCCTTGATAGATCTTGCCTTTGTAGACTCTCAACAAGAAGCACTCTGGTGATTCCTTTGGTAAAGAAGGGCTTTGCCAGGACACAATTTAAGATTTAAACATTTTTAAAGATTTAACAAGTCAGTTATCTCCCTGCACTTTTGTATGGCTTCACTTATTTGAAAGTCAAGATACTTATCCATCTTGTGACATTGGGTCTTGAAACAGAATGTGTCATCCTAGTGTAACTGAACTTAAATCTGCAGAAACCAGTAGATTGAATGTGGCCTGTAATTTCTATCCTTCAAACACTGCATACTTCACGTTGACTCCTCTGAAAACCTGAAAGAGCTTGAAATGCTACTGTAAATGCTTTCCGTCATCTGTCATCTCAATCAATAGACTGTTGGAAACCCAAAGAAACATAAGATTGCCTGTGTAATTCTCTCTATGCTGCTTTTACCAATTTCACTCCAAAGATCGGGGATGGGAAAGTTCTTCTCTTCCCCCTGGGTTGTTGCAATTGCAGAATATTGATGAATTTGATTTAATTTGCCTTTTTAACTTTAGTTTTCGTTGCATAGAGTTTCTTTAAATACAGAGTGGTTTTATTAACTTTTTAAGAAAAATCTTAATGTTATTAAATTTGTTTTGGTATTTTTTGTATGGAGCACAAGTAGCTCAAAGTTATCGGAGGAAGTTGTGGTCCAACTGTTAGCTTTGTTAGGCTGAATGAATAAAATAAGAAAATCAGATGAATGGGGGACTCGTCTCTGGACTTTTTTGTTGTACTGTAAAATTTACTTCAACCCAGTTAGCTGATTATATGAGCAAATATTTTCTACTTGATGTTAAGCTTCAGGTAGCCAGTTAAGATCATAAGAAAATAAGAAATAGGAACAGGAGTAGACCATTTGGCCCCTTGAACCTGTTCTACCATTCAACAAAATCATGGCTGATCCAGTAATTTTCACATCTACTCACCTGTCCTTTCCTGTAACCTTTGATTCCCCAATAGATCAAAAATCCATATATCTTAGCCTTAAGTATACACAAGGATTCTCCATTAGGGAAAACACCGTCTTATCTTTTACCCTGTCAAGCCCCTTAATTTGCTTCAATGATATCACTTCTCATTCTTCTAAACTCTGGTGAGTAGAGTCCCAACCTGTTTAGCCTTCACTCACAAGGAAATCTCTTCTTACTGGGGATCATCCTTGTGAACCTTCTTTGAACTACCTGCAATGAAATGATACATTTCCTTTAAAAGGGGGTCCAAAACTGTCCATAGTACTCCAGATGTGGTCTCACAGCTCCTGAAAAGTTGCAGTAAGATGTTGAAGCAAGTTACTGCAGATGCTGGAATCGGTACTGAAAACAGCAAATACTGGAGATCACAGTGACTTAGTCAGCATCCATGGAGAGAGAGCAAGCTAATGTTTAGAGTCTAGCTGACTCTTCATTAGAGCTGAAGTGAAGTGTGGAGGGGGCAGCATTAATGCTGTCGTTGGAGGGGCGCATGGTTTTGGGGTGGTGGGGTATAGAGTGCTGGTGGAGAAAAGAAGTTGACAGTTCAGAATGAGTAATCACAATGGTGTGTCTAACTGCCAGACTTGATAAGAGATAGTTCAGAGTCTCAAGGAGGGATGTAGTTGCATTGGAGACAGTTCAGAGGAGGTTCACAAGATTGATTCCAGAAATGAGGGGTTTGTCGTGACAGAGATTGAGAGATTGTTCTGCCATTCTCAGATTACAATCATTTAATCTGAAATATCAACATCTTTTCTGCACCAGCACTCTATACCATGCCCGCTCCCCCCCCCCGCCAACTATAGCATAAATGCTGCCCCCTCCACACTTCATTTCAGCTCCGATGAAGAGTCATCTAGACTCGAAATGTTAGCTTGCTCTCTCTCCATGGATGCTGTCTGACCAGCTGTGATTTCCAGCATTTGTTGTTTTCAGTACAGTAAGATGCCCCTACTCTTACACTTCAACCTCCTTGATAACGGCCAACAATCCTTCAGCCTTCCCAATTACATGCTGCACCAGTTGTTGAAGGAAGAATCCAAAGCCAGTCTTTGCTTGATATGTCAATCTGTAAATAAATCTGTTTCAATCAAATCAAAAAATCAAATTAAAACAAATACTGGTATATATCTTTTGATTCAATTGACAAGTAAGTTCAAGGGCAGAGAGGGTAGGCCAGAAAATAGATGCCACAATCAGATTGTGCATGATATTATCAAACGGTGGAGCAAGATCAAGGGTCAAATAGCCTACTCCTGATCCAATTTTTTATGTTCACTCTTGTGCCAGTAAGGGTGTCATTTTTGTACATAATGTCTTGCCAATACCTCCATCTGTGTGTACCTAGCAGTGAATTAAAATGTTGAGCTCACCTTCTGGATCAGAGGCCTTGATTTTAACTGAGCAATGGACAGTTAAAACAAAGCAGTTACTTACAACCTCTGATCTCACTGTCTTCCTGCTGGGTACCAAAATTAACCTCATAATTTGAGCAAGTGGGTTCTTTCCTGAAATGTAGTGCAGTGTAAATCAGAGATGTGAGCTGGAAGCAGTGACACCTTCTCTGTACAATTCTGGTCCCTTTCTTGAGGAGGAATGTAGTTGCCATGAAGGCAGTTCAGAATCTCAAGGAGGGATGTAGTTGCAAAAACATAAGTTGCTGGAAAAGCTCAGCAGGTCTAGCAGCATCTATGAAGAAAAAATCAGAGTTAACGTTTTGGGTCCGGTGATCCTTACTCAGAACATTTGCATTGGAGACAGTTCAGAAGAGGTTCGCTCGATTGTTTCCAGAAATGAGGGATTTGTATTACGAAGAGAGGGATTTAGCAGTTGAAGCCTATATTCTTTAGGAGTTTAGAAGAATGAAAGGAGATCTAATTGAGGTATACAACATGCCAAAGGGGATTGTGAAGGCAGATGCAGAGAGGATGTTTCCTCAAATGAGGCAATCTAGAAAGAGAGATCTTAGCTTTAGGATAAGGAGTTGTAGATTTAAAACAGAAATGAGGAGAAATTATTTCTCTCAAAGGGTTGTGAATCTATAGAATTCACTACTGCAGGGTGTGATGGATACCAAGACATTGAGAGAGATTGAGGAGATAGATTTTTAATTAGTAATGGGTTGAAAGGTTATGGAGAGCGGGCAGGAAAGTAGAGTTGACGCCAAGATGGATCAAGCATGATATTGCAGAATGGCAGAGCAGGCTTGAGGGGCTGGGCATACTCCCAGTCCCTAGTTCTGACGTTAGGCCAGACCTACCAGGAAGTGAACCTTCAGTCAGAAGGCCCCTAAAGATGTAGTCATTTTTAAATTTAACTTCCCAGGAGGTGTAGGAGTGTTTTTTCCTGCCTTTAATGATTTGTG